TATATATATATATATATATATATATATATATATATATATATATGTAAATACACTACAGAGAATCTTCATATCATGTACAACAAGAAGACTGGATCCTAATTAGACTAAGATATACTCCATGCTTGTATAAATATGTCAAAATATACCCTGTCATGTATAATTAAAAAAAGAAAAGGCTGAAGGTGTAGCTCAATGGCTGAGTACACCCAGGTTCAATCTCTACTACTACCCATAGAATATAGGATGATGATAATAATAATATAACAACAACAACAACAACAATAGTAGTGAAAGCAGATAGTCAAATATTTATGATTTACATGAGTATTTAGATTTTTYACAAATTTGTTTATACTACATAATAACTATAATAATACTATAAAATGTATTAGTTGCCCCTCCATAAATTAGAAATCAAGTAAGTCCTAAGGATTTATGTCATAATTTTAAAAATATTGAAAGACAAGACAAATTATTCTTGTCCTAAAAGGTATTCTTAAAATTTAAGTATACTAATTACCCATAATTAGTATACTTAGTAGCTACACAAACTACCATACAGCTTTTTCCACTAAACAAATGCTAAGTCACTGCTCAGAAGATATTTCTATAGAATGAAAATGAAAGCCTCTGGCACTAACTGAAGTCAGTTTTTCCAAAATGGAGTTGTGATAACCTAAAGCTTACCTCAGTTTCTAATAAAAATCAACAATGATGTAAAGTTCAATTACAATTTAACTTTCCTTCTCCATTCTTATTTCCAATTACTGTGYTAGAGCTTTTTTTAAAAAAAATAAAATAAAACTGCAAGTTTYGTAGGTCCAAAAGGAACAGAAGAGGAAGAAATGAAATCATCAACATGTATTACAGGTTTCATGGAACAGCTCTTCAAAATTAAGCTTGAAACAAACCTTGGTGTTTTGGGTCACTGGGAACACTCTAACTTAACTCACATCAGCTGGAGCCAAAGTGGGCAATATGTCAAATTAACTTGCTCAATTTACTTTTCTCAACTTTACAATGCCCTTTAGAAACACCATTACTGAATAGYTATCATTGACATTTACAGTATAAAACCTAATTTTGGAGGCTGATATTGCAAACCTAAATATCACAAAACTGAAAACTGTATATGCCCAGATGTTTCACACGCTGAAAGAACAAAGATGTTTGTGGATGCTCTGTTGATGGAAAAGGAAATAAACAGGGTTAGTTTCAGAATGATTTAAATAGCTGACTTGTATTTAGATATATGAAAAGAGTATCACTGACCTGCATTATTTTAAAAAAATCTTGAAATAAACTGGTAGCTAAATTAATAATTTAATAATTTATGTATTATTTTTCATATASTATATTTGACTCTTAAGAAAATAGACCCTCCAATACTGTATTAAACTTGCTGGCACAGAGACTTGTATTTCAGTAAAACATTATGTTGTTCATTTAAAATAATTTAGAAATGTATTCTCTTTAATGTTTTCAAGTTCAATAAAAATAAAAATCTATCACTAAGGAAATACACAGCAAATAATAGTAGAATACTTACAAGAATGAAATAAACAATCTAGTTTTTAAATGAACCATGCAAAGAGTATATTTCAAATGAAAAATTATAAATTGGTATAGGTATCCAAAGCATATCCTAGAAAAACAATTATGTCTGAGAACAATAAGTTTTCCTGCCACCTGCCATTATAAATATCATCTGGTCCTCAACAGGTAATAAGCATTTGTGGTATTGYCTGTTTTCCTTCAAATATAGAAACATAAATGGACAAAACAACTGTTTTTTCCCCTTACCTCTAAATACACTTTTTGGCTAGTCTTAACTATTTAGAATATTTTCTTCTTTCTAAACTCATTAGAAAAAATATTATACTCATATGGTAGAGAAGATATAGGTTGGGACTTTTTTTTTTAAAGAGAGAGAGAGAGAGAGAGAGAGAGAGAGAGAGAGAGAGAGAGAAAAGAGAGAGAGACAATTTTTAATATTTATTTTTCAGTTTTCGGTGGACACAACATCTTTATTTTATGTGGTGCTAAGGATCGAACCCAGCGCCCTGCGCATGCCAGATGAGTGCATTACCCTTTGAGCCACATCCCCAGCCCCTTGGTTGGGACTTTTAAACATAAATAAAAACTATAAGTAAGCCATATCTGATTATAAAACCTTACAAAACAATAAACTTAAAAAATGAATTCACTCCATGTCACAAATGGAGCTAATACCATTTTGAATATATTATTATATTCAAAACCTCCCAGTATTGATTTACAATGTGTGTATTCACAGAGCATACGCTGGTACAGATACAGACAGCAAACAGTCAAGTCCCCTTGTTTCCTTTAAAACATGAACAAAACATAAAATTATACAGTGCATATCATGATCTATGTGCTCTGCACTTTAATGTTTTGCATGTTTCTCAGCACAACTGGTCTGTAGTTTTGCTCCAAATTTTCCATGTATTCAAAATAATCACTCACTCGAAACCCATGCAGTGCTTCTTCCTGCCAAGAAATATTATGGGAAGTTCATTCACTTTGGTAAAGACATATAATTCCAAGTTAATACTTTTTAAATAATTGATGTAACATTTAATYTCACCTATGGATGGTGGGGGTACTTTATGTTGCCAGTTAATGTRTAATTGCTTTGTCTTTAGTGGGCTGTGTATGCAGATGGTAGGAATGAATCATATCCTATGAAACAAGGTTGTCTACTCTCAAAACCAAAGATTTTATAGCTAACAACAACAACAACAATAACAACAACAACCCCTCAGATGTCATTAGTCACTTATGAGCAATGATGTGCGGCTTGTAAATGTATCATTTAAAGATCTACATAATGAGGAAGAGGTTAGTTGGGATATTCTAAAGAAATTAATTATTGATCTATGAGCCTAATAAAAGCTGAAGAAATGTGATATTTTTATATAACATTACATCATGAAAGCAAGAGCTCATAGCTTCCAACATAAATATCTGAACTCTCAAGTAACTGTGACATTATTTCACTTGGCTATTACATCGAAGGTTCTTGGTTATGCAATCAAGAGACAAAGATGAAGAGAGGCCCTGTCCTAAAATGTTAACAGGTATATAGCATGTCTCCAACTATTTGTATAAGTAACTTCAGTTAATTATCTTCAAAGGAAAGATGTTCATGATGAATGGCAGAATACTAGGTCTTTGTACATTTCTTTCCTACCAAAAATACTTCACTTTTTACAAGGGAGAAAAAAGGATTAAAGTAAGACCAAAATTACTGTTCAAGAGTTTATTTAATCTTATTGGAGTGAGATGGTATGTTAGGGTGGTTTTGATTTGCATTTCTCTGACTGCTAGAGATGGTGAGCATTTTTTCATGTACTTGTTGATTGATTGTATGTCCTCCTCTGAGAAGTGTCTGTTCAGGTCCTTGGCCCATTTGTTGATTG